CATCCCCTTCCCCAAGGTCCTTGTAAGAGACTATAAAGAGGGCTTTTGGTGGGGGCTGGTTTTCTGCTTGAGAGCCAGCCCAGCAGTTTCTCCTCTGCAAACGGTCTTTCTTGGCCTGAACTGGGTTTTGTCCTTCCTCGGTGACCTTACACTCAGCATGACCCCAACACCGTTCTCTGAGGTTATAGGCCCTCAAATGTGTTGTTGTTCAGATTATTTCTCTTTAACTTGGTTTGTACTGACAACTGGATGTATTTCCATGCTGTTTGGAAGAGGCAATGAGTCCTTTGAGTCTTGCATTAATAGAAAGATGGCCCCTTTGCCCCATGTCACTGTTGCCAGGACTGAGCTAAGTTGATCCTTGCCAGATGCTCGCATTCTGTCTCCCTGCCTCCAGGTTGAAGGTCATGCAGGTAAGACAAAGGGCTCACTCCCACCAACCAGCCCCACTCTATAGCCCAGTGCTCCCAGCGTTTGGAAGGCTCTCTTTTTACATTGAGCAAACACACTGCATTTAGCACATTTAGCAGTCCCTGAGGGCAGAGTGACCTCATCCTGCTCTTGAAATTTCGCATAGAGCCTACTAGGCTCTAGGCTAAGTAGCAAGTGTTACTTCTTGCTAAGCAAACTATTGTTGTTGTGTATCAGACAGTCAGAACCAACTATAGCTGATCCTTCTAAAGATTTGAGAGGCACCGCAGGCGATTACCCAGATTACCCATCTTTCTTCCATCGAGCGGCTGATAGATCAAAGCACTTGCCTTTGGCTTGGCAGTGCAACTCCTTACCCTTAAGTTGTCATAATATTGCCTTTCTTACCAGCTCTGCCATCCTGGTGGAAGGTGGCCAGATTACACACCACTGACAAGTCAGAAAGGCTCCCCCGGTTCCTGGAGCAGCCTATATGGCTGGACCCGAAACAGCTAATTATCTGAAACTGGGATTTCCATGAGCAAAATTTGCAGTGAAAACTATATTCAAGTCACAAAATTAAGTGGCTGGGATTAGTATATAGGAGAAAACCAAAATCTAAGCATGGGGGTGAGGGAAACTGAAAGAATTTGTTCTTGGAAATAATGTATTCAAATTTTGTAAATAAACTAGTAGAAAATTTTTTAAAAACCCACTTTAAAAAAAATCCTCTTGAGAAGAGGTGATAAGGCTGAAATCTTTACTGGGAATATAGAATCAGGAAAAGAAGGTGACCCAGGGTCTACATAGTTCCCCAAATGAAAGACAAATCTCTGAACCATCAGGGGAGCTCTGGTGGCCTAGTGGCAAGGACCTGCAACTACAATCCCAGAGGCGCACGGTTCGAATCCACCAGATGCTCTGCCTGGGAAGGAGGGACAATTTCCTCCTGTACCAGTCAGATCTGATTTGGTGGTACACTCACACAAAAATAATAAAAATTAAAAAAAAAATCTCTGAACCATCGCAGCCAGTCTCTCATAGGGAGTGGTTGGTCACACAATAAATAAGGTAACAGATCTGTAGTCAACAATTCTTTTTTTTTTTAACCATATCAAATGATCTGCTCCTAGGAATGGCTGGTGTCTGTTTCTCTCCCAACACAAGTGCACCGAGTAAACAAGGTAAATACAGGCTTACTTGCATTTACCTCCTTCTTTATTCACTTACTTCACTAACGTGAAACCCAGGTGACATTGTTTGTTACAGACTAGCACTTAAACCTTTAAGTACCTGACTTTCTGGGTGTGCTGTCACTGCTCACAGAGGAGTCAGCTGTACTCATGTGGGCTCCGGTGGTAAACAGATGGCTCACTGGAAGAGACTGTTTACAGAAATACGGGCAGAGTTGAGGGAACCAATGAGCGATAGATGATATAGCACCCAGGTATTAACAGCAACTCAAAGGACGTGCTTCTCTGAGGCCTGAAGGAGGAGCGGTGGTGAGAATTTTGAGAAAGCTCTGGCGAAGAGAGAGAGGCTGGTTGAAAGCACCTACAGCCATTGGAAGAGATGGCGCAGAGTATAAATAGCCAGCCTCGTCTGACTGCCCTTCCCTTAACCTCCCAATGGTGTCTCCCATTGACTGAGCCCAAACAGAACTGATTCAAGCAGCCCAGGGAGGCCATCCAAAGAGCTCTCAGAGATAGAGGAATTCCTCCTTCTCCCTCAGTTCTCAAGCAAAAAGGAGGAAAGGAAGACCAAGAAGTGAAAGCTCTTTCCTATGTTTGCAACCCTTGAGAAATGACTTCTACATTGTTGGTGGGATTGTAAAATGGTGCAACCATTCTGGAAGGCAGTTTGGCGCTTCCTCAATAATCTGAACATAGAAATTCCATATGACCCAGCTATTCCATTGCTTGGAATATACCCTGAGAAAATGAGAACTGAGGCACAAACTGAGATTTGTACACCAATGTTCATAGCATTTACCATTGCAAGAACATGGAAATAGCCCAAATGTCCCACCACAAATGAATGGATTGAGAAATTATGGTACATTCACACAATGGAATACTATGCAGCACGCAGGAGCAATGCTTTTTTAAATTATTACTTAACTTGGGAGGGACTAGAGAGCATTATGTTGAGTAAACTAACTCAGTCCCACAAGGATAAATATTGTATAACCATTATTATAGAATGAGTATAAGGATCCATGAGGGGGTGGGAGAGGTTGGAAGCAGAGGGGTGAGGTTGTGCATGGGGAGAAGGGGATTAATCCGTGGGTTGTACAATTTGTTGGGTGGGAAAGGTGAGGGGAAATGAAAGAATTTGTTCTTGAAAACAATGTATTCGAGTTTTGTAAATCAACTAGTAGAAAGTTTAAAAAAGAGTGCTCAAAGGGGAGAAGTGGAATGTGGAGCAACTGGAATGCTCATCCAACTGCTGATAGGAGTTTATGCTGGTGTGATCACTTGGAAAACTGTTTGACACTATCTCCTAAAGTTAAACTTGTATAAATTTCATACTCCTGAGAAAAGTGAGTATATGTACAAGTGTGTGTTTGTGTGTGCGTAAACAACTACACACAATGGTTTGAAATAAGATTTGTAAACTTTCACTCAAATGGGGGGGAAAGCAAAAGGAAGAAATAAATTGTTCAAATTCTGCTTCAAATTCGCCAGTGGCTCTGAGGGGGTAAGATGAATAATCTCCTCTTCTTTGTATTTACAGCATCGGAAACATGATGAAGAGTTGCCATGAGCCAGCAGTGATTTGACAGCAATGAGTTTGTGACGTGTACATGTAACAGTGTGGATGAATCCTAAAACCATGTGGAGTTTAAAAAGAGGACACTAAAAAAGCATTTCGTATATAATTCCATTCACAGTAAAAACTAGAACAGACAACACCTACCCACAGTAGTGAAAATCGGAGGTGAGGTTATGTGAGTGGAGGTAGGAAGATGAGAAGGGGAACTTCTCATTGTTGGAAACATTTTATGGTTTAGTTTGGAACACGTAGGTGCGTATACCCTTGCCAGCATTCATTAAACTCAATGCTTTTTATTTATGCCTGTTTCAAAAATGGAAAGGTGGTACTTGCCTGTTCATCCCGGTTCCCCTCTCAGCAGTGAAGAGAACACCTCTACCTCCACATCTTTATGTTAAGGTGTGAAGTGATATGGAGCTCTAGTGGCCTAGTGGTGAAGGAGTTTCACTGTCAACCCAAAGGCATGCGGTTCGAATCCACTAGATGCTCTGAAGGAGATGGATGGGCAGTCTCCCCCTATGTGATTTACTGCCTCTGAAAACCCTCGTGGGTCAGCTATGAGTCAGTTCTGACGTGGAAGACATAACAAAGAGGAGGCCCTAACCTGTGACCAGGGCGCCCTCAAGTTTCAACTTTTAAAATACATGCTCCTGTTGTTAAATGGCACCTAGTCGGCCCTGGTCTACAGCAGCCCCACCACTCACAGCAGAAGGAAGCATTGCCCAGGCCGCTGTCACCTTCACGGTCACTATTATATGCCCACGTCCACTGCTGCAGCCACAGTGTGCTCTGAGCGCCGTTCAGTGCGGGGAGCTCACCTTCCAGAGCGTCGGGTGACGTTCTGTTGTGATCCACAACACTAGCCCATCTTCCTCCTGCAGAGCTGCTGGTGGACTCCAGACACCTGCATTCAAGTCAGGAGGGCGATTTCCCACCGCCAGGCCACCAGTGCCCCCTACTCTGCTGTTGAACTTTAACAGTATTCAGATGGCATTTATTTTAATTTTTCAAACTTCTTGGTCAGCTGTTATCTTCCTTTTTGGCCTCTAAGTTCTTCCGAAGCAAGCATTGTCTAAGTTCCTGGGGGGAATGTCCACTGTCCTTCCCACCCCAAAGTAAACAGGTCACATGTCTTCACACGTCTTCAGACTTCCACTTCCGCCGACCAGCCAGCCCTTGGTCTGTCTATCCCGGAAGGTCTGTAGACAGCCATAGAGCAACAAGAACTTGTGGTTCATTTTCCCCAAGGATTTTTCAACAGGCTTCTCTGTTATCACCCTAGGAACACAATCTTTTGGCAACTGAACTTGTAAATTCAGATTAACAGGGCTCTTACTATCCTCAGGGTTGGTTTTCCTGCCCTCAAATCTCACTATATAAATAGTTGGCTGTAGACTAAGCGGACTGGACACATTTATGAACTTGAGGATCAAAGCTCACACGTGCTGCCCGGATCTGTCCTCCTGTCCCTTCCTCTAAGGGAAGTCCAAAGGATAAAGCCTGTTATAAAAGGCCCTGTCCAGCCTGCTGGGCCAAGAGTGGAAGCTGTCCTACCAAACAGTAAGTCCTGGTCCCCACGGCAACAGGGAGCCTGACAGGGCTGGGGTGGCCCCGTGACCAGGGAAACCTGGCCGACAGTAGGGACACCACTATGTGGAAGGAACTCCAAGTCCTGGGTCCCAGCACTGTGCTGTGCACTCCCTGTGGGCTGAGAGGCCTTGGCCTCAGCTCCTCACCTGGAGGGAGGGCCTGGCCTGTGACCAAGGGCCCCTGCCAGCCTCACGCCCAGGCACGCAGGTGTCTGAGTGAGTCTGTTTCCATCCACACAGATGCTGCTGTCTTGGATCCTCGGCTTCTTCCTGCTGGCCACCGCCAGAGGTGAGAACACTGTCCCCTTTAAAGGAGAAAGTGACTGTCACCTTTGATGCTCTCCAAGGACATCACAAAGACCAGTATTGCTAGCAGCATTATCATTCGTTCAAGAGACATAGCAACGTCGACCATTCTGAGAGTAGTGGCTCTGAGGCAGACACAGGGAGGGGGCTGGACACACGCTCTTAAGTGGTCCCTCTGTGGGCATCAACTGGACATTGAGGGCAAGGTATCTTCTCAGGCTCCACCCTTCCACATGGCCAAGTGCAGGTCACAGCTACCTGGGCGTACCACCTGCCCCCAGCACAGGTCCTGCAAAGCTGGCTTCCTGTCCCCTCCCTATTCTGACTCCCCCCTTGGTTGTCAGCTCTGTCCCTCCCAACCTCAACTGCTCCCTTCTCCCTGGCTTCTGTCTGAAGTAGACGCAGACACTCGGGTTCTATTTGTTCCAAACTAGAACCGGCCTCCCCTCCACCCAGCCAGCTACCTCCCACCCCTCTCCTGTTGGCCTCATAGGGCCCCTACCTTCTCTGCCTCAGTTTCCTCCCCTCCCCTCACTGCCTGTCCTGGAGCCCCAAGTCTGCCGAGGGATGTGCTCCTCAAAGGCCAACCTGGCCCTCTCTAGCCCTCCCAGGGCATTTGTCTGTACCCCATCTGTCCCCCTGTATCTCTCCCTCCGCACTGCAGACCCTCCACCTTCCCTGTCCTCAGATGCTGGCTTCTGACTGCAGAGTGGGGGGCACTGCTCCTCCAGCTCTCCCCATGTTCTTTGCTGGTCACTGTGTCTCCCTGTCCCCTTGGGGAACAAGCACACCCCAAAGTCACTTGGTAATTTCTCTGCTTGCCTGACAGAGGGACCCTGTAGGACTGAATAGACCCCTTGTGTGATTTTTTGAGGCTATGAATCTTTACAGAAGCAGACTCTCTCATCTTCTTCCCGTGCAGGGCTGATAGGTTTGAACCATTGACCTTTTAGTTATCAGCCCAATTCTTTAGCCCCTGCACCACCAGGTCTCTTTTCCCACTCAAAAGTAGCACGTAGTAAACATACTGTTCCCCATACCATCTGACTTGGAATCTTTGAGAAGGAGGTTGTGGAACGTGTATATTCAACACACACTTGGGGACCCCAAAGTCCAGGTTATTCTTCTCAACATAGAAGTTGAGGGATCATCTGGCAAAGACCAAGGCCAGAGCCACTACGTCCTGAGAGCTGATGCGTAGAGTGGAGACGCTGAGGCTGCTTTTCTCAGAGCTGACCCCTGGCACGTCTGTGCCCTCTTCCTGCCTCAGGGATGGAGATCTGCTTTGGTCATCTCGGCTGCTTTTCTGATGAAAAGCCATGGGCAGGGACCCTTCAGCGGCCTATAAAGCTGTTTCCCTGGTCTCCCAATGACATCAACACCCGCTTCCTTCTGTACACCAATGAAAATCCCAACAACTTCCAAGTAAGCCTGGGCTTGGCAGTGGCTGGGTGGAGGGTGGTGGGTGGAGGGGGACCTGCACAGGGCCCATCATTCACTGCCTTGGAATTTTCCAGATAATGGCTCCCTTGCTGCTATTTCACATACAGCATCTGAGCACTTACAAGTATAAGCCTTTATGTAATCTACTGATGCTCAGCCCAGAGTCAGGCGTAGGCTTCAACAGCAACGACAAAACACCAGTTCCAGGACACGGGAAGGATTGCTGGTGGTGCACTGGTTAAAGTGTTTGGCTCAGTCAAATCCCACAGCTGCTCCTCAAAAAAAAAAAAGATGAGAGTCTGATTTCCTGAAGGTCACCGCTTAGGAAACTCTAACAGGCATAGTCCTATAGGGTCCCTGAATCAGAAGCAACTCAGTATCAATGGGTTTAGTGGTATTGCTAGGGCATGGGAAGAAGTAGGGACAGCTTTTCTAGGGAAACTCAGGCCTAGAGTATCACCAGGAGGGTCTATCTCCTTCCCACACTGCACAGTGGTGGTCAAGAAAGGCCCACAGGGGATGTAAACCTTTCCTAAGGAGCTATAAACCCAGAGGGGAGAAAGGCTGTCCAACCACAAAAGGTAGAGACTCCCAGAAGCACCTGGTGTTCCCAGAAGGTCTCCCAGATGCAAGTGCAACAGGGTTACTCCAGGCAGTTGGGAGCGACCAGGAGACAGCTTCAAGGCCTCCTATGGAAGAGCCTACTAAGAATTTGAGCAGAGCACAGCTCCCATAACGGCCAGTACAGACAGGTACCTGCAAAGTCTCCTGCTGGGAGAACGCACGTGGCGTCTCCATCTCAGTGGCAGAGGGTTGGCTTTGGCCATGGCTGTTGAGTTGTTACCATGTTAGGATCCTCATTCTCCCATCACGACCTTGTCCACATGGACTGGCGAAAGGGAGCCACTGGGAGAACTGGGAGATTTTCGATCTCACAGACTTGAGACCAGCTCCCACCACTTCGCTGGCTGGCTCTATCCTCCTTCCCAATATTTCTGACCAGAGATTTCCCACATTTTCTGTGCCACAGACCTCTTTAGCCATCTTGGGGAGCCAAAGGATGTCAACATAGATTAGTATTTTTAAGATGGATGCCATTTTAGAATATAATTTTTAAGATGCATTTTAAACTCTCAGAACAGAGTTTTTGAAAAGCATAAACAATATGCAAAAAGTTACAAAGGAAATGAATTCTGCTAAATAACTTAGAAAAATATTTTTAAAATATGAACGCCTGCTACTACATTTCTCATTAAAGAATGAAATTCACGGACTGTTCTAATAACTATTAGAATCTAAAATAGTAATGAGATATTTGCAACAGCTATAAAATGACAGACTATCTGAGTAATGTTGGTTATTGTTTATTTGATGCCTAATTTCATAATTTATAGAAATGCAAGGTTTCAGATAGCAATTGGGGAAATTAAGAAAGCCATGAACTTGGACTTTCTTAATTCTACCCATGGATTCCATGTCAGAAATGCCTGTTCTAGACCCACCTATCTTTGTAAGAGGTGTTCAAGCGATCTCTCTTTCTTGAGACCAGCTCTACACGTGCTTGGAAAGTCCAATACTCAAATTCACCCTTTCTAATTAAACCAGCTAATCACCGCCACAGACCCAGACACCATCAAGGCTTCAAACTTCCAACCCGACCGCAAGACACGTTTCGTCATCCACGGCTTCATAGACAAAGGAGAAGACAGCTGGTTGTCGGACATGTGCAAGGTAGGGCCTGCCCTCCTCAACTGGCTGCACCTGACGAGAACCGCCCCAAGCATACAGGTTAAAGCACTGTAGCTCTAATACCCCAACTCAGAGCAGGAAACAGTCCATGGAGAGATGGGTCCTTTCCATAGTCACCGAGGACAGCCTGGGTTCTCAAAGTCATCCACTCCGAGGTTCTCTCAACCCACCACTTTCTAGCCAACTATCTCCTGTGAGGTTGAAGGGACCAGAATCCACTGGAAAATCAGAGGTGGAGACAATAGTAAACTACTTGGTACTTGTCTCTTGGTGGAGTCACTAGGGTTGGTATTGTTCAGTATAGTAACTCATTCACAATATCACAGACCTCCTTCTCTATCGGAACCTACAGAATGCTTAACTATATTTACTGTCAATTTTAATCATGGAATAATACATAATCAATATGATAATAATAAAGTGTGTAAGTACTTAGACAATTTACACAGTATTATATGAATACTACCCACAAAAATGCTTTCAAAACTCTGTTGATCCTGAGTTACAATACTATTAGTAACTAATATAAAGTCCTTTTTAACGTCTCTCTTTCTTTTTCTTTACATCTTTTTCATTCTCAAAAAAATTACTAATACAACATCACAAATGTTTTCAATATTGTAGTTAAAATGCCAGAAACTGGAATACAATCAGCGACCATAAAGGCACCAGCAGCTAGGGAAACAACAGCCTGTGTTTGTAGGGTGTGCAAACAAAACTACGTGATGAGAAGCACCGGTGTAACTGAGTAATAATGACAGCGCATGAGAAGATCCAAAAAGGAAACTGACAAGGTTGCGGCTTGGGAGGCGAATGGCTAACAAATGTCTGCTGACACATAGCATGAACAGTTTAGAGTCCTTTTGGTTTCACCCCTTCTACTAGGGCCACCTGGTGTGATTTGCACCCCTACACACTCCTTGTGACGCCACTGTTGTCTCTGAGTTTATAGAACCCTGGGGTTACATGGAAAGTTGCTTACATTTTATTGCAACAGCACTGCTCTCCAAGGCAACTTTTTGCAATGATGGAAATGATCTCTCTCTGAGCTGTCCATTGTGGCTAATGTGAATGAGGAACTCGTCTAATTTTAACTGTTTTAAATGTGGCTAGCCACGTGGATTGGTGGTTATAGCATTGGACAGAGCAGCTCTAAAGTTATTGTGAGTAGTGGCTCTGACTAGCGTGTTTAACAACCGCTCTCTAAGTCAGCCTTGTGCTCATAGTTTCTGACTCCATAGTTAATCTAATTCTTCCCTTGCTGAGTTGGCACAGTGACTGTATCAAGGGGCACATCAACATCATAAGGACAGTGAAGGGCAAGGGTCACTGGTGTTAGTCATAGAGTTGCTATGAGGCTTAGTCAATTTGAAAGCACCTAACAACAACCAGCAACTTTGTAATACTGGTCTGATATTGTTCCCATTTAATAGACAAGGCACAACGAAGGCCAGTACTTACTTACTCAAGCTTGAATCTAGAGGTAGAATGCAAAATTAGGGTTCAGCCCACAAGATACCCTGAAGGGATTACCACAGCCTCTGAACTCCCTCGACTCCACGAAGACAGACTCCCAAGGAGCTTCTGTCCTCAGCAACCTAGCCCCTGTCAGGGTTGGGTGTTCAAACTTGGGTCCTAAGTCTCAGAAAGTGACTAGATTTTCCCAGAGGCGGGGCATCCTCCCTAGTCTCACCCAGCTTCCGGCAGAGATACTGCCCAGGATATCTGGAGTGAACAAAGGGTGTGCAGTGGCCCTTTCTGGCATTGACTTCTTCCCCCCACAGAGACCAGTATCTGTGCTTAACCCATGGCCACCCCACATCACATACAAGATACAGCTATTCACGAGAGTTGTGCTATGACTGTCCTTAAGATTTTCCCTCAACACCTGATTTCTCCAAAGTGTAGTTTTTGTTAATTATGTACCATTGATTCAGAACTGACTCACAGCAGACTCCAGTGGGTTTTCAGAGACAGTAAGTTGCACAAGAGGAGACTGCCCATCTTTCTCCCGCAGAACAGCTGGTGGATTCGAATCATGTGCCTTTAAATTGTCAGCACAATTCCTTACCATTAAGCTACCAGTTGTTACTGTGTTGTTGATGGCCTTAGAGTTGAGCACGACTCATAGCAACCCTATGAACAAAAGGCCTGAAGCCCCTCTACAACTATCGACATTCATCAAAGTTCATAGAGTTTCTGGAGCCCAGTGGCAAGAAGCTGAGCTGCAATCCCAAAGGCCACCAGCTGCTCTAAGGGAGAAGGACGGGCACTCTCTTCCCAAGCAATTAACTGCCTCTGAAAACCCACCTGAGGGTCAGCTATGGGTTGGTTCCAACTCCACGGTACACAACAACAACTCTGACAAATAGACTAATTGTTGTGCCTTTGAAGGCCACTTGAAGCACCAGAGTAGCCTAAAAAACTGTATTTTGTAGCTTCAGCTCTCTCTTGCAGGACTCAGCAAACTGTCCTGTGAAGGACAAGGAAGTAAATTCTTTTGGACTTTATGAGTCGTAGGGCCCAATTTAATCCAGTTATTATGCTCACGCAGCCGTAGACTACATGTAAACAGACGGGTATGGCTGTGTTTCAACAAAGCTTTTTTTACAAAACCTGGTTTGGCCCCCTGCAGGATTTTTGCCCAGCTTTGATCTAGGTCGTGGTCTCTTTGACCTGGCTTTGTCAATAACCGTGTGTGACACCTTAGACACGTCACTTCCCTGTGTCAAGCCTCAGTTTCCACATCTGGCTGGTGGAGATGAGTATACCCAGGCAAGAGGGTTGCACTGAGTACAGGTGATGCTGCGTGTGAAGACTCACAGGGCTCTGATTCAAGCCAGGTGCTTGATGAATGTGTCTTCCCAATCTCTGGGACAGCACCTTGAAACTTCACCCACCAGCTTCTCTCCCTTGAATGTCTTCCCCAGAAAATGTTTCAGGTGGAGCATGTGAACTGTATCTGTGTGGACTGGCGAGGAGGGTCCCGCACGGCCTACACTCAAGCGGTGCAAAACACCCGGGTGGTGGGAGCAGAGATAGCCTTCCTCATACAAGTGCTGTCGGTAAGATCACACGCCCTGGAGAGGGGCAGAGGTGGGGCGCGGGAAGGGCCACGTTGTAGCAGAGATGCCCTGGGGGAGGGGGGGTGGCCTGGGAAGGGCCAGGGTCTAACCCAAAGAAGACTTCTGCTAAGAGAAAGGCTCCCTAAGATGCCAGATGCCATCATTGCCTAGCTGCTTCCTGAGACCAAATATTGGACCTCTTTGAGCCCCCAGTTCCATCTTTGGAAGCAAAGCTCTGGGAACGAAGTCAGGGTGGTACAGCTCAGGTGATCTTGGTGCAGACATCTGGGGCAGCCTGCAGAGGAAGACCCTTTGCATCCTTCTAGAAGGCTGTTGTGGAAAACCCCAGAGCAGGCCCCCACTCTCACCCCCAAACAAGCTCTCTCCCAGTGGCCCTGCACCTGGACAAGCTGCAGGCGGGCCTGCAGGGCTGGATAACAGCCGGAGAGCTGAGCTCCTGAGCTCAGCATGCAGTTGTAGCAACGGCCACTGGTCAGCACTGTTGCCCCACGCACGAGCCTGCGAGGACCACGCCGCTGTGGGAGCCCGGCTCCTGCACCCCTCCCTGGCCAGGGTCTCCCTCCCAGCCCAGGCCGCCCTCCCCAGCCTTTCGTTCTGTCCTGTTCCTCAGACTGAGCTGGGGCAAGACCCTGAAAACGTGCACTTCATCGGCCATAGCCTGGGCTCCCACGCAGCTGCAGAGGCCGGCAGGAGGCTTGAGGGGCGTGTGGGCAGAATCACAGGTAAGAGGGGGCAGAGGCTGAGCTGAGAACTCCAACCTGGAAGGACCCAAAATCCAGGGGTGAGAGGACGCAAAACACAAGAGTGGGTGGTGGACGCGTGATCTGCGCCTCCTGGATGTGTAGGAATGTTAGGTGAAGCACATACATGTATCATACAAATATTTTAACGTGTATTTTAAAATATCTAACTATAAGAGCTCTGGAGACTTAGTCATGAGTAATTGTGCTTATGGAATGGCCAGCCCACATGAAGGCAGTTTGAATTTACCAGTCGCTCTGCAGGAGAAAGACGGACAATCTCCACTTCGATTTACAGCCTCTGAAAACCCACTGGCGGTCAGCTATGAATCAGTTCCAAATCTATGATACAAAACAAGAATTAGAAGCAGAAATACATTTATAAAGAAAAGGAAAACATAAGAAGGACGCTAAACACAGGTCTTCAGAACTATTCTTTCTAGTGCCTGGCAACGTGCAAGTCATAAAGGGAGCTGACATGAAAGAAATTAATTCGTTAGTTACCCAGCCGTACAGGGAGGATTGATAACTGAAGGGTCTGTGGTTCCAGATACTTCACTGTAGGAAAGATTTGCAGCCTCAGGAACCCGATGATGGCTACACTGAAATCCTCTCTGTGGCCTAGACAATGAAAGAGTTAGCTAAAACCTAGGGAGCTCTGGTGGCCTGTCGGTAAGAAGCTGTGCTACAATCTCAAAGGCAAGTGGTTCAAATCCACCAGCTATTCCACAGGAGAAGGCTAGGCAATCTCCTCCCGGGTGATTTACTGCTTCTAAAAACCAGCTGGAGGGTCAGCTGTGGGTCAGTCCTGACTCATAACAACAGCTGAAACCTTCCGCAGGGAGGCGCTCAGCCAACGTGCCTGCACGGGCCTAAACAGCTGCTGCTTTTCGGTGGCCAGATCAGTAGGCAGCTTTGTGGACATTTAGATTCCACCTGGCGTGAGCGCCCCCTTAGCTGACGACCCTCTGCTAGCCATAAGGAGATGATAATAATAATACTTCACGCTTCTGCAGAACTTCTGTTTGCAAAGTCCCTTGTACATATTTTCACGTGGTTTTCACCAGAGCCTGGTAGAGTGTTTTCTTTCCATCATTCCCACTTCCCAGATGAGAATACTGAGGCTCAGAGAGGACAGGTGCTTAACCTTGAACTTGGTCACTGAGCCCTGGGAACCTTACTCTCTGCGCTTCTCCTTTAAGGTGACTGGGCCCAGCTGCTGCCTAATTAACTTCACAAACTAGTGTGATAGGGAGATGACTCAGAAGGCAATGAAGCTGAATTTATAAGTGCAAACACACACACACACACACACACACACACACACCCTTTAGTATAAATGAATGGACTAAGAAAGAGGAGGCTAGAATGTCCACCTTAGGATGGAGGAGAGGGGAATGTTAATAAAATGCTAATGTGGGGAAGGGCGAACAAAGGCATAGATGGTGTAGGGCTCAGGGCAGGGGTGGACCTGGGGGGGAGAGGGGGGGCAGAGTCCTTCCTGTCTCTAAGAGCAATGACCAAATAGTATTGCATGTGAGAAACAAAGGAAAATGCAAGTGAGGCTGTTGGGTGCCACCTGGATCCGCCGTGGATCCAGCGACCAGGGCTTATCTGGCTGGCCTTGAACAGACGTGGTTGTACTTCAACCCTTTCTGTCTAGTGTTTCTCTCTTTGAGTAGACCAGCAGCTACAGACTTGGGCCCCAAGCTCTGGATGCTGGGGTCAGGGAGAGCCCTTTATCCAGGACATCATGGCCCGTTTCTAAGTGTTCTGTTTGGATCCCTCTCCTTCTCCTCACTTTCAGGGCTGGATCCAGCAGAGCCCTGCTTCCAGGGTACGTCCGAGGAGGTTCGACTGGACCCATCTGATGCCGTGTTTGTGGATGTGATTCACACAGATGCTGCTCCCATAATCCCTTTCTTAGGTGAGATTCCTACTCTGCCTCTGGTGACCAAGACTGTCGCCCAGGTCTGTCTGCCTGCTTCCCATATCTCTCTCTCTTACACACACACACACACACACACACACACACACACACACGCACACGCACACACGCCTGTAAATGCTACGCTTACCCAGAGCACTCCTCTCTTGTCTCAACTTCTTTGCCTGCTTCTCTTTCCTTGACTTTCTGAGCACCCACCTTATCAGAACGTCCTGCAGAGTCAAGGCCATGGTGGCTAGACTGAGAGATTTTGAAAAGAAGGTTGTCCCTCTGGTTGCTCCATAACCACCCCTTACCCGTCTCTGCAGGTTTCGGAATGAGCCAAAAGGTGGGCCATTTGGATTTCTTTCCAAATGGAGGGAAGCATATGCCAGGATGTCAGAAAAATATCCTGTCTACCATCGTGGATATCAATGGACTGTGGGAAGGTATGTGAGTTCAAGCAGAAAGATAGCTGCTGCTCCACCTGGGACAATGTGATATGTGTCCCCATTTATTGTTCATTCTGTATCAGCCTTTTTCACAATAGTGTCGTGAGACACTTGTTCTGAGAAGCTCCATTTTACAGATGAGATACCAGAGGCTCAAGATTATTCTAACACTTGCCAAAGGCCACTCTATATCTAAGCCCAACTTCTGGCTTAAAGCTCCTTCTCATCCAGTTTGTCAATTTGTCAATCCACACACAAGGCTTGGATTGGCACAGGAGGCAAAAACTGGTGCCAGCTTTGGCTATTAATTAGCTTCAGTGTCTGCTTCTTAAAGAACCACAGGACATCTGCAAAGCTTAAAGGATTCTGACTTCCTTCCCGTCTGGTGGTGCCAGATCTTAGGGAAGAAAAAGGAGTGAGTAAGTTGGAGATGAAGGTGGTTTGGGGAGCATGAGCTTGGGGGAGGTGGCTGGAGGCCTATGGGACACACAGTGGCTCTTGGGAACGTTGTGTATATTCTCATTTATCTGGGAGAGTGGATGCAGCATTCCTAATATTGTTGCTATCTTTAACTATCCTTGAGTTAGCCTTTGACTCCTGGTGTTATGGATACAATGGAAGGAAGGGTTGTCCAGTTCTGGGCTTTCCTCATAATTAATTACAGGCTGAACTGTTATGATCCATAGGGCTTTCGCCAGCACTCTTTCAGAACTAGGTCTCCAGGCCTTTCTTCCTAGTCTCTTAGTCTGAGGACTCCAGTGAAACCTGCTCATAGCACTGTACAAGCCTTCACTGACAGATAAGTGGTCATGAAGTGCCTTGGCCAAGACTTGAACCCAGGTCTCTGATGTGGAAGGCAACAAGTCTACCACTGAACTCACCACTGCCCCTCTCTCTCATTGGTGTCATATCAGAATCCACTCCTAGCTGACCCTCCTTCAAGTTTTCAGAGTCTGTAGATCGCACAGGCAACAATAACCCCAGTACATATCATCTGATTGACACACAAGGTCAGTGATTATTTTTTTTCAATCTGCAGGATTTATTATGAGTTTAGAGGCTGATATATGAAGAGGTTGGATTTTGGAAAGTGATATGTTCTGTGTCGGCTGAGGGTCAGGTGCGGATTATTTGGTTGTTTTTTATTTTATTCACAATTGGGTGTGAGCTGATTGGATTGGCTGCATTTAGGTAATCATCAGCTGTGGGCTGGAAGCCTCTTGTTGAGAGTCAACAGGACGTGGTGGAGGACCTTGGTATTTAAAAGTCAGTTGGTCTCTCCTGCCTGGTAGTAATTGTGTTTAGGACTAACATTCTTCTAAGTGGTACAGCACTGGCAATTTTCTATACTGAGGGAACTTGGGGTTGCTGTGATGCTGAACACTGTGCCACTGGTGTATTAAATGCCATAATGGTTACCCAAGGTGGACAGGGTTTGCTCTCGCTCCCAGATTAAGACAAGATTGAAAGCAGGAGTGGCATCCACTTCCTAAACAACATGCCCCTGGAAACTCTATGAATTTAGAGAAATGACGATAGTTGTAGAAAGGGTTCAGGTCTTTTGTTCATAGGGTTGCTATGAGTCCTGTTCAACTCGACAAATCACATAGCAGATAACTTGTTTTTCTCACAAAGCTGCTGGTGGGTTCAGGGAGGCATAAACTTTGGGTTAGTGGTGCAGCTCTCTGCAGACTTTGCCACCAGAGGGCTCTGTTGGGGATATTAGGTGACAGCATAGCACTATCACATCAGTCTTGCCCTGACTGGCCCTCAGCAATGTCTGCTGTCCCTCTCCCGAGATGAGGCTTCCCCAACGTCATTCCTGAAAGTGGGCGCTTCAGACCTATGATAGTGTTACTCTTGCTGCTGTTGTTGCTTTACACCATCAAGTCAGAACTCATCAACTCATAATTGACCTCAGCGGGGTTTCAGAGGCAGTAAATTGCACAAGAGGAGATTATTCATCTTTTTGTAAAGCAACTGATGGGCTCGAACTGCATGCGTTTCGGTTGGCAGTGCAACACTTTACCACTAAGCCATCAGAGCTCCCCATAAACGTATTATAGTTCAGCCTTTATTTTCCTGAGCCTGTTTTTTTTTTATTTTCCTAGTCCTAAGGCTTGAGTTGTGACACAGGTGTCCCAGACAGGCACCCCAGCACCCTACTCAGAGCCCAGAACCATCTGTTAAATGGAATCGGACAGCCTTGAGTGGTATTTTAATATTCCTTGTGCTTAACGAGCAGAGTTAATAAAGCTACAGCCACAACCACTGACAAATAATCAAGAGTTTTTGACCCCTCTGAGCTCCACCCCAGGTAACTCCAGACAAGATGGACTATTCCGGGCTCCCTGAAAGAACCCCAGAGTTCCGGTAATAGCTGCCCACTCCCAGAAGTGGCGAGCAGGCGCACATAATAGAAAGAGCCCAGGTTTAATTAAAGAGGCAATTTCGAGGGAACAAGCCCCTGAATGCTAAAGTGTGTTTCTATTGTGTCAAGCTCCGAGCCACCAGGCGCTGGGCATTGAGGAATAATTAAATCCACTTTCTCCTCTATTATGGCATCCCTGGGCAGCAATTTGGGATGAAAGAAACAATTAAGTTAGAAACAGGTTCTGTTGTCTGGGAAGGAGCATTGGTGTGGGGTGTGCGGATGGGGTGTGCGGATCCGGCTTCAGCTGGAAGGCACCAGGCTGTGGGGCCGTGGGGCTGGACGCTGTGAAGTGCTAATCTGCTCAACACAAAGGGAAGGGTCCCATCACAGGGAGGTGGGCAGAGCCCCCCCAGACGCCCCAGGAACATCTTCTGGTGTGTGCACGGTCACCCTGGACCCCCATTGCAACTTTTGTATCTAGTAGCTGGAGAAATGAAAAACACTTTTCCAAACATGAAGACTTTGGTCTAAAGAAAATAGGCTCATGAAATACAGAGGAAGAGCGGTCAGTGGTCACAATGACTAGCTCTCCACTATCCACACCTCGCACCCAGAACAGCAGAGAGGAGTTTCTCACTTGCGTGGAAAAGTGAGCTCAGGGGAAGGGCCAACTCAGTATGGCCTGGAATCCTCAAACTTTGGCCTTCAAACAGGATGAGGTCCAGTGTCCTCAGACTGCAGCCGACAGACAGGATGTAGCTCCTGACAGTATATGACTGGCCTCCACCATGACTAAGGAGCCCTGGTGGCACAGTGACTAAAGAATGCAGTTGTTGATCAAGAGGTTGGTAGTTCGAACCTGCCAACCATTCCGTGTGAGACCGATCTAGTTGTCTGCTTCCATACAAAAAACAGGCTTGGAAACTTTATGGCACCGCTTTCCTGTGGTCACTTTGAGTCAGGATGAATTGGATAGCAATGGACTGCTTTTGGGTTTGAGTTTTCACCGTCACATTTAAAAGTGAATGCAAGGCCCACATTTAAGATTTTCATATGAAAGTCAAGATTCTGGCTTCTTGTGAAATCAGAGGTCCAAGGATTCTGGTTTTCATCATGGAAACAACCAGCTTTTCTGTATGGAAACCCTCAAGATCTCCACTTTTGTCAAATCTGTTCTGACTCTTAGGGGCCCTCCGTTAGATTTTCAGGACTGTAATTCCTAAAAGGAGAGCTGCCCATCTTCTTCTGGGAGCTCCGTAGGGACCCCTTTTAAAGCCAGCACACACGCCCCCTTCTTTCCAGAAAGCTCCTCATTCATGTTCATTATCTGCCCGGCCCCCAGGGGACTGGAAAGTGGTCCTGTTACAACTTCCCACTCCTCTACCAGGTGGCCAGTCCTGTGTAGCTTGTCCTCAGCAGAAGGGACACAATGGTGGGAAATCTAACTACCATTACGACAAGTTCCCAGATTTCTTACTTGCCTCTAAGAACGGCAGAGTCAGCGATAAGCAGCTTCAAACTGTGAGCAATGCACCCATGCTAAGGAATGCTGACCCTGGTTCTGGGTCCTCGCTGGTTAGAACAGCACAGGCTTTTAAAGAAGAGCACCTCCCGTGAGCCCCTGGTCTCTGCTTCCGCAGGAACCCGTGCCTTCGCAGCTTGCAACCACCTACGAAGCTACAAGTATTACGCAGACAGTATCCTCAACCCCGATGGTTTCCTGGGTTACCCGTGCACCTCCTATGATGAGTTTCAGAAGGTAGGTCATCCTGGAACGCTGGGATGCTCTGTTGGTGGTGGTTTTATTTCTGCGGCTTAGGACAAAGCAAACAGGTGTGATTCAGCAACTTAGAACAGAGGAAGTGGGGCTTGCCAAGCCTCAGAAAGCCTTCGCCAGGACACAGGGTGGGTGGGCAGCGGGGG